ATCTTGCTCAATAATTATGACGATGGTAAAGCACGTATGGAATTCGAGAAAGCTTATGGCAAAACTGAGATGGTGTTTGTTTTTGACTCGGATGAAATTGGTGCCACACAGAATGAGAAAAGCATGGGACGTAATGAATGGATGACCCATGGTGATGTCGACATTTACAAATGCACCAATTTTTACGCTAGATTATGGATGGGCAGAACAAATGCGACCAAAAGAGATCAAATAGGCTTAAAAGCTAAACTGGCAACACTATGCTCCTTTAGAAAATACATAAATAAACCAATGCCCGCCAATGCCCGATTATGCCCGGTTTGCTCTCCTATGCATAAGACTCTATGTAAACTTTAATAGTAAACGTTGCGCTACAGCTGACATGCGCTAGATGGTTTAGTTTTGTTTTAACATTTGTTTAATTTAATATATTACAATAGTTAGCGTTCGTTAAAGTGGGTAAAAATAATGGGGAAAAGCAAAATTAAGGGTGCAATAATACATTCAATATTTTTAAACTAATTTATTGAAAAATTAAATATTTAAATAAAATAAATTACGGGGGGTAAACGACAATTTTGCAAACGTAATATTTTTAAAATGACTACATGCGCACAATTATTTAAACAATGCAAACGTAATATGTGAACGACGCCTAATCACAATTCGGGTATCACTCACACACAGCGATGCTATACGTTAATCACAATTGGGGTGATGCTCAAAGAATAGATAGTTTTTATATATTGCGTTTAACTATTGTATTTTGAATATTTAATTTTTATAACATTGTTAAATGAATATTTACATTATTATTTGAATTTTTAAAATTTTTAAATATTATTGTTGATATTTATTCGGTCTTAACAATAATTTTACCTATAGACTTATCATATCCATATACTTATTATTCAAGTTCATCCAATACCATAGTTTTATTAATACAGATATTTTTATAAAATCAGCATTAGTCTGATTGAGTTAACATTACTTCCATAGACTTAATATTACTCATAGGATAAGCATTGCTATAGACTTAGCATTGCTTATGTTAAACCTGCTATAGACTTAACCTGTCATCCAATATTAAATCCCATAGAGCGCGAAGTTGGGGGAGGGGGCCGAACAATTATATGAACCACATTATTCATATCTTAATTGTGGTTAATTAAGTACATGTAACTAAATTTATACTTATATATTACGAAATAGAAATTTCTAATAAATTATTAGAAATATAAGATTCATATAACGTTGTAATAAGTCAAACTTTACTTGTGTTTAAAGATTAGAAGTAAGATTGAAGCACATTTGTGTTTTAAACGATGTATCTTAACCATCTGTAGCAAATTCAAGGAATTTTGCCGTGCTTATAATAGTCTACTTCTACTTGTCCATAAACTGCATAATCCCATGAAACACCCAGTATTATAACCTATGGGCCAAATATAACTTTGTCAATTTTTTAATGAGCTTTTTAGAAAAAGAAACATCTCTCACATACACTCTATTACACTGTAAGTTTAAAAAGATAACTTAACAAATGACAAAGTTGAATTTTGACCATAAATACATTGGGGTTAACTTTCATTAAAAAAATAATCAGAAATTTCAGAGATTTATATGTTTAAATTATAGAGGAGATGTGTGGCTATCATTATTACATAGACACTTATGACTTTTATCAAACGAGAAAAAAGTTTTCATATTTCAATAACTTTTTTGAACAATTTTTTTCTCAGTTTTTTTGAAATTAAATGATCTTAATTGAATTACGAGAGCAATGTTTATAATTTACAATTTATAAATAATATATTTTAAATAATTTTGTTGTAAATAATAATAATATTCAAGCATTTATTGATAATCTTAATAATTGTTTACGTGTTTCAAAATGGACATGTTAAATGTCACTCAAAATTTTGTCAATAGTTTTAATTTAATGTAGACTGTAAAATAAATTAAATTTATTAAATATTATAAGTTGATAAATCGCAGTTTAGCCATTTGGTTAATTATCTTTGTATTATTTTATATATAAGTTTATCATTAAGAACGTTTATATAAGTAATAATTTTTATTATTTTCAGCAAATAAATGCAAATCTATTATTTTTTAAATTCCAATGTGTTTTAATTTTTGAAAAATCTTATTTTAAAATTAAATAAATTTTTGTTAGAATAAATGTAGTCATTTAGTCTCACAAATAGTGGTAATATTTTAACACCAATTAGTCGGCCGATAATATCAACACATAACAGGTGCCGGTGCTGTCCATCCACTCAACCCTCTCTCCAACTCTTCGGCCAAAGCGATGGTCAGCCTATCGTTAAAGGGTTTGGCAATGATCTGAACGCCGACCGGAAGGCCATCACTGGTCAGACCTAACGGTACTGAAGTGATAGCAACGTCTAGTGTATTAAAAACACACGTATACGAGATGTTCTTCACTTTCAGTATTGTTTGGTTGTGTTTCGGCGCTTATATGCGATATATTACGGTAGAAAACAATTAATTTCAATCATAAAATATCTTATAAATACAATATACAATATGTTATTTTATATACACTATACCTGTTTCTGGATGTCCCGGATATATGAGTACTCCATTATCACCTGCAATAAAAACCACATTACAAAATAATGTATCATGATTTTATTAATATAAATCATAATTACCTAGTATATTATGTAGTGTCTTGGTCAGTTCCGTTCGCAATCTGGT